TACCCTTCAGTCTAGTCGGCATACCTCGATCGCATAGAAATCCTGACGCACTCTTCCACTTCATCCACCATGTTCTGATTCTATGGGATACATCTCTATCTATGGTAAGAAGTCTAAGAACTACATTTCAATATGAGTAATGAGCAATTAATAATTGTCTGGCACAAACAAAAAAAGTTGTGTTATACAACAAATATCTATTATACATAAATAAAAGTAAATTTTTGGGACAAATAAATAAAAAATGTTTTATTTTTCAAGAATAAACATATTTATAACTTATGAGTCAAAGATAATAGATACAGAGTAATTTATTGAAGAAATTAAAATGAAATGTCAGAAAATATTTCTTGAAAGAGGACAACAAATAATAAAGGAAACAAGGAAAAAAAGAAGAAGAAATCAAAAAATACAAATCGTTTGAATTATAGGATGAAGAAAAACAAAAACAAAAAATACTCTGTAAATGGTTTCAACGAAAGGACAGACCAAGATTGAGAATGAAGACAAAAAAAAAAGAGAGAAAAGGAAAATAAAAATAATTGGCTGGAGTGTGCCTAAACTGCCCAAGAAGAAAACGGAAAGGGAGGGAAAAAAAAAATCCACTAACTTGTTACCAACGGTTGTTATCCGGTCACTTAGGCTCATGTGATTGTTTGTTATTAGTACATGTACTTATATTATATGATGTATTTTTTAGTACAAGAGCTTAAACGATTTTTTCAGAATAGTAGGTGGGCTTATTTGACCCTTTTTACTTGTTTTTCAAAATTGCATGCACTTTAATTATATCACATTGTGATGCTCAAGGTATTAGCTAATAAGTAGTACAAGTACATTATTTAGAAATTGCCTTAAATATAAGTTTATGTTTATAATTACCTAAGCAGAACTCTAGATTATTGTTTTACATTTATTATCATCAACCCAACTATGATTAATTTCGAACACCTGCACCACACCTCTCGTGTCTTCATTGTGCCGCTCTCTTGCGCCACACATTTCTCTTTCTACGCCGATAGTCAATGAATAATTCTGCGACGATATGATAGACGGATGGCTCTGCATCATAGGATTTTCGATTTGTTATTCCTAAATAAGATTTTAGATTCCCAGTTTCCTTGATTAATTTGGAACATATGTGTATCGTGCCCCTCTTCTTTAGTGTGGCGCATTCTTCTGACGTTCATCTCTCTTTCTTCGTTGAGTGTGAATGAATGTCATGGCGACAATGGATGAATGACTCTATTCATAGGCATGTGAGCTCCTCCTCTTTCTTTTCACGCGCTCCTTTGTTCTTTTCTTCTTTTAGATTTTTATTTTTATTTTATTAATTTTGATTAATCTATTATAAAACACTCATATTTTTCCTTAGGAATTGAGTTTGAAAATGTCATAATCACTGTTTTTTTATTGAACATCGATCTGAAAAAATAATACTTTTATTACATTACAATTATCATGACAATATTTTGATACACTTTCCATGTTCTTACATCTACATGTGCCATTTTTATATATAAATACCATGTTTTAACTTAAGCAAATGTCATGTTTTAATATGAAAATGACATTTTATAAAATGTCGTATTTTTTAATTGATATCTTTTAACATTTTGAAAATGACAGGTTTTTACATTTACCAATGTCATGTTCTATACAAAATTGTCATTACATAATATGTCATTATTTTAACACGACATTACATAATATGTCATTATTTTTCAAACGACAATCTCGCAAGAGGAGCTGACCACGAAAGAGGAGATGACGGAGTCATCGCTGGGTGGCGATGACAGTCTCATTGAAGGGTGGGGGTGGTCTCACAGGGTGCCGGTGGGGGCGGTTGTCGTGTTGGAGGGTTGCAACCGGATGCAATGTTCTCACTAGAGGGTGGCGGCACCAATAGAGGCAGCAGTAGCCGTGAGAGGCTCCCACACTTAATTTTATCACAGAGTACATGGAGTGCAAGTTTGGTGGAGGTAGAAATAATGGTAATAGCGGAATTACTCTAAATAGTAAGGAGATACCGGTCAACGATATGTTTCGTTACTTTTGTTCCATAATTCAGGACGGTGAATTAGATGGAGATGTATCCCATAGAATTAGAACAAGGTGGATGAAATGGAAGGGTGCGTCATAATTTCTTTGCGATCAAGATATGCCGACTAGACTGAAGGGTAAATTTTATAAGACAACAATTAGGCCTGCATTACTGTATGAAGCAAGGTGTTGGGCGGTGAAACAATGTCACATTCAAAAGATGAGTGTGGCAGAGATGCGCATGCTGCATTGGATGTGTGGGCATACTAGAAAGGACCGCGTGAGGAATGAGAGAATCAAACAAAAGGTATGAGTAGCACCTATTGAAGATAAGATGTGGGGGGTCTCGCTTGCGGTGGTTTGGTCATTTGCTTATATAATTTTCTCTCCAATACTTGTGTGGACGATTTGTCCATTTGAACATATTGGATACTGTAATACAGTAATAGGATACTAATTTGATTTCACACATCAAAATTGCAGCTTAAATAAGGAACATATATTCGGAGAAGTGAAAGTGTTGGAATCAACTGAATTCATTTAGTGTCAGTATGCCTACTATCTGCATTCTTCTTAGAAGCTTTCTGAAATATTACTAAATTTAATTCATGAGAATAAAATGTGATTATAATTACTATTAGTCCACTAATTTGATCTGCGGCAAAAAAAAATAAACATAATTATAGTAATAAAAAATAACTAAATCGTGTTTGTATCCTCATTTCTATAATACATTAGGTATTATTTCTTTTTCTTATAATATCTAGAACTCCAAAACACGTAACATCAATTATGTATGAAACTAGACTCAACTACATAATTTGTTATTACCTTTTTGAATTGCACTAAAATAAATGCCTCATTTCCTTTACAAGAAAAAATATGTGGCTCTCATTATTACACTCATTTCTACTCAAAAATACACCCTCCTTTTCCTTTCGACTATTTTCTTAATAAGCATGTTAAATCCAAACAAGATATTTATTTGGGCGGGAGATATTAGTAACATTTTTGTCAAAACCTCATTTTACCACAAAATCGAAACCACATAGTATGTATACAAGTTTTATCTAGTAATATCATATATTATTCGCAACATTTAAGATATTACACTTGATTGTTGATCACATTGTCCAATTAATAGCCTTGTTTTTCTTTGGAGTCGAAGTTAATTGTATTTGTGAACCACAAAATAACATTTGTACATGTTTGACCTACACTTTTATACATATGACGCCAAATTGGTCATAGACAAGCATTGTTGTCAAATTAGGTCACTAATAATCGAGTCCATGTGTATTCATTTGAAAAACGTGTAAACTGATCACACAGATGATTATTACTTTTGTACAAAAAATAGTTTGTGTGTCGCTCGCATTGATCTGCACGCTCAATTACATATGCATGAAAATCAATGTCACTCGCATTGGCAACTCAGTTGGTTACAAGAGTAAAAGTTTAAAAAAATGATCCACATGAATCCCACAACAACAGTGTGGGGGCAATCTCTCAAGTGAGGGACCCCTTGTGCGAGGTGAGCAATAATCTAACCTCTATGTTTAACTAAATTACCATGATTTCTAACTCTCATATGCTCCCGGGGCTGAGGGGGGCTCTTAACCTCTCGAGATCATTTTTTGGAACAACGAAGATCAAGGTCTTCAATTGAATTTCAAATGAATATCTTTTTGTCAACGAAATTGGAATGTCTTCAACAAGACATTATTATCGCTTGCCAAATTTAACGAACAACATTATACGTGAAGGATTTTAAAAAGGAGAATTTGAGTTTGCACACCACTTGATATTGACTTTGTGTCCCATTTTCAAAAACTTTGGTTTTGCACTTCATAATACTACTTATAACATTTTTGAAGAAAAAATTATAAATGAAGTGCAAAGTGGGGTGTAAAATTAAAGTTTTTTAAAAATGAAGTGTGTAGTCCAAATCTCCGCAAAATTGAGTCCAAAATCAAATTCCTCCATTTAAAATTGTGCGTACAACTATACAACACGTGTACCAACTTTACATAGGCCGAGCATTACTGTTCTTAAGCCACGTGAACTGTTTTATTTGCTTCTAGCATCTCCACTCTACTGGACTGAAAATAATTGAAGAATTGGCGAATTATTTAAATTTAAAAAGCTAAATGGTCGTTCTTCAAAAAAACTACATGGTCAATTATTTAAACCACAAGCACTGCATTTACCTTTCTCTTGTAGTCTTAATATTACTTACCTGTAGAAAAATTACTCTTGTATTCTTATTATTGCTTGCCTGTAGAAAGATTAACATGAGTCTGACATTTGTATTTAAAAATTGTTAAGTGGAAATCTATGCCAAAAAACTCGGTTATAACTTATGTTCTAAACTTTGAAGGCCCTTTCTTTTTCTCATGTTTCATAGCAAAATTTTGAAAAGCGAAAGAGAAGTCGGGTAGTTTTTGGTGAAGTGGTACTGTGGTAGAGAGGAACTTTAAAGTGACAACTAGTTAAGAGAAGAAAACAATCCTCATAATAAACTCAGGCCTGGACTCGGGCCAGTTCGGGCCCGGGCCTCCGGTTCTAGAATGGGGGGCCGGAACCGGCCTGAGTAATCCCCAGTTCCGGTTCGGGCCGGGCCTCGAGCCTTTGTTAATTTTTTTTCCTTTCCCTAGTTAACCCCAAACACCCCCTCCCTCACCCCCACCCCCAAACCACTCCAAATGGCCCAAAATACCTAGCCCAACCCGAAAAGTAAAAAAAATTGAAAAAAAAAATAAAAAGGCCCGGAACCGGGCCCGAACCGGCCGGGCCAGTTCATGATTTGGGGGGCCCGAGACCGGACCGGAACCCACGGGCCACAGGGCCGGGGCAGGCCAGAACAGTGCCGGTTCGGGCCGGTTCCGGGTCAGGCCACCCGGCCCGAGTCCAGGCCTAAATAAACTACACAACACAAAGAAAGAAAAAATTAAAAATAGGTTTAATAGCAGCAAATTAGAATGGAAACAAATCTCTGATAACAAACAAAAGTTTAACACTAAAATAATAACAAGTGTTCTTCAACAGGCATGACACAAAATCTAGTCCATACAGAACAAAACACTGTTCACATGCCTCCATCAACACTAATAATAGCGCCACTCAGCCGTTTGGACTGGTGTGTGCTTCGATCATTTACTGTGTGCAACAACTGAGAACTTCTAACCAGTTTTATCACAAAACACAGTGCGCAATCTGTGCTAGCCTAACCAGAATTTTAGATGCGGGAAATCAAGAGAGGAACAGAGACGGGAGTATCCTCGCCCATGACAGGTTGAAAAAGATCCAACTCTCCAAAGCGCTCAAGAACACGCATCCTGCAATCCTCTGCGGCCATCAATCCAGTGGAATAAGCACCATGTACGGACCCTGGGTAATCTATGCTCGTGGCCTCTCCAGCAAAGAAGAGGTTGTCCACTGGTATTCTAAGCCTCTCGTACATGTCATGGGATTTGCCCACTGTGTCATAGCTGTATGAGCCCAGCGAGTTCTCATCCCTTCCCCAATGTGAAACAAGATATTGAATCTGCATAACAATAATAACAAAGACATTTTAATGACAAACTTAAAAACAAATGCAAGTCCTTCTAAAACCAATTATGGGTGATCAAGCATCTCTTCAATGAAAATTAGCTTATTTTGTGGGAAAATGACATTTCGAGACCAAAATAAGATTTCAAAACATAGGCTCTCTATTGGAAGGACGAATACAGTTTTCCTTTTTCAGAATGATTTTCTATGATATGTTCTAAATTAGAATGAGTGTGTTAAACTTTGTACCCGGGCAAGGCGAACAATTTAATTCAGGAAGAGAGGTAGTAATATCTTTTAACAACACAAGATAATTATATACGTAGTACTATTTTAGTTTGTGTATTCATTGATGGAAGACAAACGTTTATAATTGTTCTGACATATATACTCTCTTAGCATCATATGTCTTTCTTATTGAAGCTTAAAAACTCACCGGTTCAGAAGCATTGGGAAGTATTCTTTTGAGTTGACTGAATGCCAACTTCGCAGCATCCTCATCAGACATCTTCTCAACATCCCGGGCCAATTGCCCGGCAGGCATGTAAACAAGGACAGGATGCCCTGTTGCCTTGTGGAGGTTAAGAAAGTAACTGCACTCATAAGTAGTCTCAGCCACAACTCCCAAGAACTCAACGTTAGGCCAGAAAATCTCTCCAAAGTGAAGAGCAATCTTGTTCTCAATTCCAATACCGAGCTCTTTAATTGCAACTTCCTTCCATTCGGGCAATCTGGGCTCAAACGTGATACGATTTGATTTTAGCACGCCAAGTGGCACAGCCACAATTGCAGCATCGGCCATAAATGTTCTCCCATCCTCAACTGTTACCTTCACTCCATTATAGCGCCTCACAACTTTTTCAACTCTGAGGTAGAAATATTATTATTTTTAAATAGTGAGCGGCAACTAAACAAAGGCACAAATTAAAGGCCAAGGATTTGATGGATAAGCACTCACCTGTGACCTAAGCGGATATCAAGACCTTTTGCTAGTGTGTTTATCACAGGACGATAACCCCTCACCATAAGACCATGGCCACCTGGAAGTAATTCTTCCTGTGTGAATTCCAACGATATACGAAAGGCATATGTTAGAGCAATTATTTGATTCTAGTTATAGAAAAAGGACTGCAAATACATTTCCAACTTTCCAAGTTCCGACTCTCATTTTTCATCTTCATGACTTGGAAATTAGATTAATTAGCTAAGCACCCCAAAGTTTATGTCTAAATATTAAATCTCCTACATACTTATTTCAATATCATCAAGATGCAGTTCAACATGAAGTCCTTGTGTTATTTAATTATTGGACATTGGAGGGGAAGAAAAGGAAAGTGGGAGTGTTGCATGTTTGGTTAGAGAAGATTTGTGGAAATGGGATGAAGCAAAGGAAGTACAAAGTCCTCTAAACTTTTCATTGCTCATTCCCCAATATGGGGTATTTCAGAGTTGCATATTATTACAAGTTCTATTTTGCATTGTTCAATCAAAACCGTTCTCACTATTATTATTGCTATACATATAGATTACTATCCTCTAATCACAATACAGTTTATATAAAGTGAATCTTATGAAACTCCTTCATTATCCTCCTCCCCTGTTTTAAACCAAAAAAGAGTAAGGGCAAGAGCAGTTAGAGTAAGGAGATTAACCTTATCCCAACATTTAAGTGATATGGTATCAGCATCAGCAGCAAACCAACCCTCCATTCTGCATAGATACCACTGTAACACCTTATTGCCAAGTCCATCCATCCTGCAACCAAAATTGTGGGTATGTGTAAGCACCACTTATTTTAAGAGAGAATGGGCTGGGTGATGGAGGGAGTAAAAGATAATGATGCAAACTATTAGTACCTTAAATCTGGCCTTCTCTCAAAGACCATAGAAATTGCACGCTTCATAGACATGTCTTCACTAAATTCCTGTCTAACTTTTTCTGTCTGTTAGAACCAAATGAACAACTGTCAGAAGATTGTTTTCAGGGTTTGTATTCTATAAGAAGAAAATGAATTAAGCTGGCATATATGTTCTTTCTTTGGTGTTTCTTTTTCAGTGATAGCTAAAAGGGAAAGAGAGCATACCTCTTTCAAAATGCCTTCAAAGGTCACTCCAATATTTGTAACCAATTCCTGGGGAACTTGGTTTCCATCCATGTCAAAGAGAGCGTAGCTATTTAAAATGAAAAGAATAATAATAAGTTAACCGTGTAACACATTCTTAAATCTAGTAACAAAAACAATCCCATATTGTAGAGTACCAATACCTAAACATTAATAGACATTTTTAGTTTTTACAAATATTACAGAAAAGCATATTAAAAAACAATGAGATAATGCAAACCTTTCCAGATCGTGGTCATATAAGACCGAATTATCCCCACTTGTACGGTATAGAGGTAACCCAAGTCGTCCGATGACATGTGCCAGAGGATTCTCGTCGCAGACCCCATGTAACCTTAAAAAAGAAGAGAAAGAAACAAGTGTTAATAAAACTAGTATTCTTGCATTTGGGAGACATGTGAGGAAATGAGGATAAATAAAAAAGATAGCAAAGTGTGTAATTTACCAAGATGCCCCCAAGTCAACTGGGAAACCAAACGTGTAATCTGTGTGTGCACGGCCACCAATTCTATCTCTTGATTCCAACACAACAACCTGAAAAAATCATCTCGATGATGATTATCATTCAAAATTACATACTAGAAACAGTGTGGTTTTATTTTTGTAGGGCCTACCTGGAATGAAGCATCATAAAGAGCTCGAGCAGCTGCAAGCCCTGCAAAACCAGCCCCTATGACAATGACTGACGGAGAAGCAGCAAGCCTCCTCTCATCTTTTGAATAGCAAAAGGCTATAGAAAATGAATATCTAATTAGTAAAGGCAATCACCAATTCATAATTAGCCATGAATATGTGGTAATGCATGCATAGTAACAGTCCCCCTCGGATGAATAAGCAATTACATGCAAGGTATAAACAACAACCAAGATGAAGGCACGAAACTACTATACACTAAAATGATTGAAACACTGTAATGGTTATTAGTCCAAACATGAAATAGTTTGATGGGACGATGGTTGGAACCTAACCATAACAGCATAACTACGGCATTTAAACAGGAGTTAGCCAGTTAGGGAATAATAAGTCAAAGCCAGTATACACCAGCTAAGTTTTAAACAAGAGAAGGAGCGACAACAAGAACTCTTACATAACCATCAGCCCTCTCAGAAACCAAAACTTCCAATCAACCCATATATTATCGAACTATTGCCCATGACAATCAATACACAAGTGTACATCATCACAAACGGTATAGACTGTAGATTAATTCAATAACCGGTCTAACCAAAAGACGATCAGCCACATATATCAAAATCAAAAGTAAGGCTAGCTGCATAATCCCAGCAACTCCTAAAAGTTGAATGATCATAAAATTATGTGGTGTTTATTCATACGAGTGTAAATTCATAGTCTTGCCGCCCCATAGACTCCCATAGTTTAAAATTATAAACAAAGACACTGATATCAAGGTGTCAGACATTATAAAACTATAAACGGGAAATACAACTATACTGTTCCGCGTAAATTACAATAACAATAATAACGAAATCGAAAACAGCTCAACAATAAACATGTTAGACTGACGTTATTCATAAAGTATTGACTTTTTGACCAGCTGACAAAAATAAAATAAAGCATAAGTGAAAAAAACGAACCTCTTTGGATCTGGCGATTGCGATCACTCTTGTCTTGCGATTCCATGGTTAAATAACGGGGCAGAACGGCAATCGAAATTACAGGAATTCAACGAACTAAAATTAATATTAAGCAGCGACAACAATCTCAATAATCTGAGGACCAAAGAATTGATGGCGAGGCTTTTCGTCCGGGAATTAAAAATACTCAAGAGGAGAGGGCAAAAATTAGAAAGGAGGGTTTTGTTGGGATTTGAGAAACCAGGCTTCACCAAACAGCTCATGCGTATTCTGAAACCACTGCTACCCCTGAGGAAGTCGATCGGAAGAAGGAAACGGCGGAGGGGTAAAAGAGGGAACCGGCAATGGGTTGACGATTCAATGGGGACGGGGGCGTTACCGGAGAACCCTCCAAACCTAATATCAGCAGCAGAAACAGTGATCCTGTGAAGTGAGGATTCGAGAGACGAGAAGGAAGGAATCTTGCGGTAGACGAATCACACTTTACCTCTCTCTCTCGCTATCTGTTCGTTCTCTCTTTTCTTTAGGTGCGTTGAGGGGTGAGGAAGCGTCGGTATTTATAGACACGACGCTGATGAGGCCCAGAAAGAATTGCTCCGCGCACGCATTATTTCCTTTTGTTGACCTAACGCGCTGTGCTTCCATCTGATTTTTTTAATAAAAAATAAAAAATTAAATACGTTCCAGCATATTTGACATTTAGCGGTTAACGGATGGCAGGTTGTCAATAATAGATTCAATCCGTGGATTTGATTAGCGGAATAAGTTAGCCTTTTTACCATAAAAATTAGTAGAAAAAGTCATACTCTCTCCGTCCCGAAAAGGTTGGCCAAATTTCCTTTTTTGGATGTCCCAAAAAGATTTGTCATTTCCATTTAAAGTAAGGAATATGTGGCTCAAATTAATTCTCTCTCCTCTGCACAAATTTCAACCACACAGTTTTTACTTTATTAATCCACGTGAAAGTCAACTTTGGCCAACCTTTTCAGGACGGAGGAAGTATTTCATAACGCTAACCCAAAACTTTCTTATTTGTAGCGTTTTTCATTTCAGCGGTTCCGTCCAAAAACGTTAGAGCCAAAAAGTTGGTTTTTTTACTCCAGAGGGCTGTCTGGGGGAGGGGGCCTGGAGTAATGAGGGTTGAAACTCACTCCATTGAGTTTCGAACCCGAGACCTCCTGTAAGGGAGAATGAGTCTGCGGCAGCTGGGCTGCACTGCTTCCTCGCCGAAAAGTTGTTTACCAAACAACGTTTTCATTTATTGAAAACGTTAAAAGGGGCCAAAGCGTCATTTTATAGATGCAACACCATTTTTCAAACACCCCATATGTATTATACAGTATGAATAAGGAATTTAGTATTTTTACACAACACATTCAACATGCCCGCTCAACTCTTTTTGTTTTATAAAGAGAATGTTGTTTGTCACACACAATTCTCTTTGCAAAATGAAATCGAAAAAACAATAATTGTGTACAGCCAAAAGTGGGTATGTACTACGGTGTGTACAAGTTGGCGTGTACACGAAACATAGTTATGCAAAATGTTATGTATGAGAGGGTATTCCCCAATTAAAACAACCTTGTGCTTCCCGGATAATGCAAAAAAAACGAACAGCCCTATTACTCCTATTAGAGTCGTACTGAGCTCATCTCGACAACTGGTTGAGCTCATCTAGACCATTCAACATCAGTCTTAGTGAATTAGTGATTGGGTAAACTGATCTGCAAAACTACTCCCGATTGGTAGCAGCCAATGGAGGACTTATGGGGGCATGGGGGGCAAGTACCCCACTTTCTGTCCTCAAAAACAATATTAGTACTTAAATGATGGAACTTTCTCCCGCTTCAGAAACGGTTCAATTATACTCCCTTCGACCCTTAAAATTTTGCCATTTTTATTATTTTGGTCAATCATGTTCAACCATGCTCAACTTTGATCAATTATATATTTTTATAAGAAATTATTCATAACACAAAAAAAATCAAAATGTTCTTTGTTAAAAAGTATTTTCATAAAGTATAAAACTTACCACTTTCAAAATATTATACTAATCAAAATCATTATCCAAATTTACCACTTGAAAAGACAAATATGACAAAGTTTTTAGGGGCATAGGTAGTATTAATTCTTGCTCAAGTGTTTAGACTCATACGTTATAGAAGTTGTCATAAACAAATGTTATTACATTGGAGAAGATAAATACCAAAAATATGAAAGTATTCTAAGTATAAAACACTACATTGAACATTTTATAAAGTTATGACTACATTTTTCAACAACAATTAAAACCTCAGAGCATCTTTAATGGTATTGTGGATTGTACTCCATAAAAAATGGACATAGCATTTATATAGAAAGCCTCTCAAACTGATGTAGACACATACACCTTTAAAAAATTATTTATACTCCAATACAATCGTGAATTGACTATTCATACGCCAATCACCCATCTAAAAATTGTCGTAGGCTTCTCTTCTTTTAACTTTCTTCTTCTCTAATGGATCTGAAAAAATAAATCAACAATTAATTTTTATTGAAAAACAGCCACGATTTTATTCTGGAATCGAAATTTTACGCACATATATATAGCCCTGCACGTTGCGCCTGCACGTTTATATAGAGAACGAAGGAAAATCTGATTCTAGTGTTTTCACTTTTCACCTTTGCTATTTCTTTTAATTATTCATAGCCTTAAAGGACCGATAAGCATGATTGTTGTTCTGAATATGTCAATACCCGCGGTTTTTTGTTGTTGCTTTTTTCAGTTGGATTATCACCTTTTATTACGGCAAAGGGTTTAATAAAAAATTAAATATTGTTGACTCACGGCATGGGATAGACCTGCTGAATTGAGAAAGACCATGAGACCTTCTCTATTCTTTGCATTTCCACTTCAGCACCACGGTAGAAATAGATTGTTCCATTGGAGAGGATATTTTTATCTCACCCTCTATTTAATACATGTGGCTATGCATTTTAACCAATCCATAGCACCACTAAGAGCATCTCCAATGCGAATGTGAATTCTATAACAAAAAATGGACACGTCATTTATGTGGAGAGGATATGAACGAATGTTAGGATGACATGGATCCATAGACGATCAAAACAATATTTTTTCTCCAATGGGATTGTCCATTTTCTTTTTTGTTGTTTAAAATATCAATTTTTTTGTTTCATGAGTCATTCATTAAATGGAGTTTCCAGCGGTATCGGAATGGGAAGAGGAACTCTCCAAAATCAATTTGTTCATTGAAAGCCCTTCCCGGTGCACAGAAAGACGATCTTGATTCCAAAACAATACTTACCAGAAATTTATATCAAAATGGAACCAAGAAATCAAATTGCAGAAAATTAATTGCCAAGTTTAAGAAATTTAGGATGAACTTTTTCCTCCTTGGATCAACACGTATGGAAACCATAACAATTGACAAAGTCAAATAAAAAAAGTAAAATTATACTACTAGAAATTGTTGGTTCTCCCTAAAAAACAGTTTTCCCTAATTTAATTGTCCAGTCAGCATGTCTAAAAGACCTTATAGGAGTCCATGTTCACCTCCACACCGTGCGTCTTTTTAATTTCTAGCTCAACGCCACATTCAATAGAGACATTTGCATTGGAGATATAATTTTTACATCAACATCCGTTTGGCACATGTGGCAATGCATTTTTTGACAATCCACATTACCATTAAAGATGCTCTAAAGATGCTCTCACATTGAGCATATAAAGTTCTAAACTAGCTGCTAGTGAATTCCAAAAAAAAAAAACTAGAAAGAATCCTCTCCCTTAGAACTCCTACGCCCTTAATCAAATCTTCAAAGCTCCGCACATGTTAGAGATCAAGCCTTTGGGTTGGGCATTATACGTTAGTTAGTTTCTGTTTCTACTTTTGCTTCCTCTTATCCTTTGTCCGTATTTTTGATGTAATTTTTATTGTTTTTCTTAATAAAAGTACTCTCTTCTTAAAAAAATATAAAGATGTCAATACACCATGATAAGGGACATTAGCATACACAGAATAAAAAAAGTGCAACATCTATTTGATCTTTACTCCACATGGTCCTTGCAATATATGTGGCTTTTAGAATACAATTTTAATACACTTCCCCCAATCTTAACCTACTTCATAGATTATTACACAAACTACACAAAAATACATAACAAAATATGGCACAAAAGAGTAGCATATACTTTTTTTTTTTGTAAAAAACAATGCTTTGAGGCAAAACTAACAATTATAATGCTTCTTCTCCATCTGACCGGAAACCCATGTCCATATTGAATTCCAAAATCAATTTAGGCTGCTTTTATAACATTTAAGGATTTTTTTGATACATCGGAAAAGAACATTTAATGATTATACACTGAACATTTAAGGATTTTTTTATAGCAGACATATATTTAGAGCACTCACATTCTGCCACGCATCAAGGATTTCGCCCATAGAATAGTCAACATGTGTATGTGCATTTAATGCACCACTCATTTGTTACTAGTATAAATAAATACCCCCTTGGGGACAGTTGTAAATGGTTTGAATCCCATTTAATACATAGTCACTTTTTCTCTCAACTCGTAGTTCTCCGTTTTCTCTATAATACCGCTAGTGGTTTATCGAGAAGTTATCAGTACATTACATCATTTTCCTAACATCTGAATCTTAGTTTTAATTTTGCACGAAGCATGTACAAGAGCAGTCTTTGTTAGGTCCCTCTTTGATTTTGATGATGCACGTATTGTAGACTTAAACTTGATCATGTACTTTGTTATTCACGTATCCATGCATAAGAAAGTACACACAAAAGAAGAAGTACCAAGAACAAAAGAAGAGAATAAAGGTACTCACGACGTATGACCATACAATCGGCTGTGGAGGGGGCGGCGCCTCCCCCTCCGGCCAAGGAGAAGGCGTGGTCTGGGAGATCCTTTGCTTCGGTTGTGGCTGGGACTGATCAGCAGGCCGATCAGCCATGGTCCAAGAAGGAGATCACACGTTTCAAAGGGATGCCAGCACTTACTTTTCCGGAGGTGGAAGTTCAATTCCTGGCTTCACAACATAAAAGGGATCTCGTTGGTTATTTTTTCTCCGGTCGTCCTTCTATGATTTCATTTCGTAAGGCCTTTGAATTGTTTGGATTCAAAGGAAATTTTCATCTAGGGTTATTGGAGAAAAACATGTCTTAATTAGGTTTGAGCTTAAGGAGGATTATATCCGGTTGTGGAATCGGAAGGTTTGGGATATCTTTGGCAATGCTATGCGGGTTTCGAAATGGACACCGGACTTTCAACCAAATGTAGAATCTCCGGTGGTCTCGATTTGGTTATGTTTTGAAAAGTTGCCCATTCATTTACATGATAGGCGTGCCTTGTTTGACATAGCAGGTATGATTGGTAGGCTTCTAAAAATTGATGCAGCTACTGCATCCCTATCCAGGCCTTCAGTTGCTCGGGTATATACTGAAGTTGATCTTACTGGGGAAATGCCCAATAAAGTTTGGATCCAATGGGGATCTAAAGGTTTCTCATAGACAGTAGTTTATGAAACTAAGCCACTATATTGTGTTAATTGTTTACATCTAGGCCATTCAGGTTCTTCTTGTCCAAAGAGGACTGATTTGGGCAAGCCCAA